CCAGAGCAACACAGCAACTGGAGGAAGACAATGGGATAAGTGCAACTAAGGCAAAAGGGAGTAACTTCTGTTTTGACATGATCAGGGCAGGTGGCTGGGGTGAGGAAATGATTCAGTAGCAAAACAGGTATCACAGTACACCTGGACTACAGAATCATTGAGAATATAGCTTAAGCTTGCTTGAGATCTATATTTACAAATTCTAAAGAATATTTAAAATCTCTTCCTTCCCCTTTCTCCCACAATTGTAGTCTGCTGCACTTTTCAAAAGCATAGATGCTTGCTTTTACCGAAATTTAAGGCTATTATGACAAAAAAGTGTAGGACTCCTCTTCGAAAACTAAGTATAAAAGTCAATCCACTCTAGAATGTCTTAGATAACTCTAAGTACAACCATCTGTTTTCCAAAACAACTCATTTTTGTATTTGGAAGACAAAAAAATTTATACTGCAGAAGTTGGTCTTCATACACATTCTTTTGTCCTAGAAATCAGACACCAGGAGTTATCACTGTAAGGTAAGTTCAGCCCAGGACACTCACTCTCTGCGGAATACAGATGTGCTGGTGGGAGAGGTTCACCATCACTCTCTTTGCCTAAAAGTACCAGATCATCAAGAGATCTGCTACAGAACATCCTAAAATTAATTCACCTTGCTTTGAGACAGGCTGAGGATGTACTCACATAAGCACACCTCGAGAAGCAACAGCTTCTGGGAAGAAGTGCTGGGAAGATGATGTCTGCCTGCAGCCTTAAGTGTTCTCGCCTGAGAGAGAAATACAAAGGAACAGCAGAAATGGACATAGTTCTAGCCATGACCACAGCTCCCAGTTCTCTTTGTGGGCACAAGAGGATTATTTTGCTTATTATACATGCACCTGTGAAAGCTCAATGCATTAGAGGACCTATAGTTGGGAGGGTGAGGATCCTTTCCATCACAGGAAAGTGGATGATTCTGCATTCCCTGAATTAGGCAAGTTGCTGGTGGTTTAAGAGTCAGCTGAATCTGGTCCAGAAGCAGCAACAGGCTAGGCAAGGCTTCACAAAAATGGCTACAACCAACGCTTCTTCCTCTTAACCCTAAAGTGCTGGGAAAAATGCAGCATGACCAGACTAGTAGCCTAGGATAAAACCTCCACAGTCCTACGATACCATTTCCTAACATAGATAAGGTTCCTAGGAGTTTAGACCATGAAATCCTCCACAGATACTGATAAGAGAATTTCATAAGGAAAAAATACAAGCTTGAAATAACTGGTTAACAACATAGCAACACAAATCTTGGTATGGTCAACCAGCATTTTTAGAATAGTGACCCTTTCTAATGCAGGACTATCACTTCACTTGTCCAATGGCATTTTTCACTAAAAAGAAAATGCTCCTCCAATTACAAACATCAAAGACAATACTTTAATAATAACACTTTAGGCATTGTTTAAGTTTTATAACTTATTAGAAGTTAAGATCTTTTTACATACATTTCCTATTTTTATCTTGAAAGGACAGCTAACATTAAAACATATGGATAAGGGCTCACTACCTAAGGGCCATTTCTAAACATTCTCAGTCTGACTCATTTGGGATGAAAGAGCTTTATTTTTCCCACAGAAAGAGGCTCCTTACCAGTCACTACTTCACCAGCAGATTTGTGTATGACTGACCTACCAACCAGAAGCAACAGTGAAAAAGCAACTCCTATTTCAGTTGTGTTAGCTACAGGTGAACATCTACAGTATGGTCAGAGGCTCTGACCGTAGGCTACAGCCTCTGACCAACAACTGCAAAGTTGGCTGCACCCGCTCAAAGTTCCTATCTCTGGCAAAAACCTTATTTTTCACCTCACAGAGAAGGTTAAGCACGGCACATATCTGACTGTGAGAATCAGTCATAACCCTCAGACAAATGGCATTGCTAAAATAAAGCTGTGTCACTTTGCAATGTGTTATAAAAATTCACTGACTGCCTTAACATACTAGAAATAATCACTGCATTTTTCCATTAAATATAGCATCATGAATTCAGTAAAATCAGAAAAAAGTATAAAAAACCCTTTCAAAATAGCTCCTTAATTATACCTTGCTTGAACTGAACCCTTGGTATTTGAGCAGCACGAGTAATCTCATTTCATTTCCCAACATATTTTAAGACAGAACACAAATAATAAAAATACAAATAATCTATAAAAACCACAGTACCTCAGAAATCTATGTAAAAAACATACATCTGTATCAAGGAGCTCAGTAACAACTTAAAGCACCACTCAAAATTAAGTACCATACATGTTACAGTACATTCCATTTATTATGACAATTTAAGGCTAAAATAGGTACAACTCCCTTATAGTCAAGCTTTCTTATATTTATAAATGCATACAAACATTAAGTAGATACAAATGCGGAGGGTTTTTTATTGCTCTGAACTGTCTACTAGAATGTTCAGCTTTCCCAGATGTTGTCTCAGTTTGCCTTTTTCAATCAAGCTGAAGTCCTACAACTGCAACTTATGGCACTTGTACAATTATACACCTTCTTTGATTTGAGCTGTAAATAAATTCAAAGATACATCAGACAAAATTGCCCATCATCAAAAACTTCATAACTTAGTTAACTAAACATTCATCCATAAGATACATAATTCATCACAAAGATTAGTTCTGCCATTCTTCAGGAAGGATTTTCTTTTCAAAATAATATTTCTAACCAAGCGGCAAACCAGCAAGAAATGATTGACTGGTACCAGTCTAACAGACTGGGTTTAAAAAAGAAAAAAAAAAAACGGAAGCTGGATATGTGCTCCAAAACAAAGAGCAAACTTTTCTTCTTGCTCATAGAGCAATTATGTTTCCTAATTATGTAAGGCGATGCCTCATTCTGCCAATGCCAAATTCTTTGACTGTAGCTTGTCCATTTCTTGACCAATATTTCCTTCAATGGTATCACACTGGGCAAGAAATACCTAAGAATAAGAAACAAACAAATGTCACTGGTTATGCAATTTAGCAGTGGAAGGTGCCTCTTAAGAACAGAAAGTTCCTATCCTGAATCCGAAGATGCCAACTCAATAACCACCTTCCAGCTGTTTTGATAATAGCTTATTCACAACTGCATTTACCCAGAACCCAAAAGAAACATGACATTTGATAAGGCAACAGCATGGCTGCCCATCATCACCAGTCCTGCCGCTGAAGTACTTTCATAAACGATAATGAGAAACATAAAGGTTCAGACAAGTTAGTGCTTCATTCAGTTTGGAACATGACTTTTAAGCTCCTTTCCAAAACACATACTTCAGAGGCCAAGGGGTGGGAATGACAAACCTACTCAGTCAAATCTAAAATGAGCTTTCATTAAACCAAGAGCTCTTCTATTTCTCCGGACTACAGGGCACCATTGAACCTTCCTCTTTATCAGTAAGTAGCATTTAAGCCAATAAACGATTTTAGGCCAATCCTAAGGTAAGCAAGTACACTGCAGTTTCTGAGAAGATTCTTCCACTAGCTATTCAAGTCTTGCACTTGGTTTTGCTATGTCTGCACCAGACTCTAACAGTCAAACCAGATATTTCACATGATTTACATTAAAATGACACCTAAGAAACCTCTTTCCCTCTAGAGCAGCAAACTGTTGTGCTAGGTGAGTGTTTCTCAACCATCGCACTGTTTTCAATCAATCCAATCCCTTGAGCCATCATCAACTTACGTCATTAAGGACTTGAGGGATAAAAAATCAAGGTGATAACAACTGCTGCTGCTGGCTGCAAGTGTTTTATACTTATCTCCGCATCCTAGAAGATATATGCCAGCAATAGAAGGCAGTTAATAGCTCCCCCTTGCTTTCATGAATACTTAGGAGTAACAAGCATAACTTGCCACTGTTTTCTTGTTCTTGCTCTGGAAAAACAAACTGTTGTTGATGGCTCTGGTCTGCAACCCCTTAAGATTCTTCTGCAGTCCTCAAAGGGTTCATGACCTACAGTTGTAGAACACTGTGCCTATAAAAGCACATCAGTAATTCTGATCTCTGCTCAACGGAGTCTCTTTTATACTTTAACAGCAATTCTTATTCAAAGCCCCACTTATTTCTGCTGTAACTTCACCCAGGAGTGGAGGTCTAGCTTGCCACAAAGTTTATAGCCATCAGTCCATGCTGCTGTGGTTAGGCATAAGGAATCAAGAGCATGTTCAGAGCCCCATATAAAACAGCTACTCCAGCAACCACCTTCATTCCAATTTGCATTGTCTGAACTTATCTCAGTAACTGAGTACAAATGCTTTGTCCCTAAAGCTTTAACTAAAACCATTTCTACTACAAAGTGCTTCTTCGTAGGCCCTCCTCTAAAATAGATGGCTGTTTTAAAAAACTTGTGAAACACCAATGTGAAGTACTTAATAAGGTTACAGTAAAAGACAGAATCTTTCAACTCCATATATGAATGCCAGGTACTTACACAATTAATTTTTAGGAGTCTAACCTGGGAATAAAGCTAGCACAATACAAACAAAACCAGTAATACAAGTAGCATTAGCATTCATTTATGTAAATTTGACTGGAGGGGGCTGAATTCCAGTATTTATTAACAAACCTTCAGTTCAAGGTCTCTAAGCAAACAATGCCTAGGAATTTATAAGCATCATAAAAAAGCAAAGCAACTTAACCCCTCGCCCCCAGCTGCTCTTCTGTACAGATTTTATTTTAAAGACCTACTCTCCATACAAAGTTGGTACATTGCAATAGAAGCTAAATTTTCCAAAGAACATCTCTGGCAAGGTCAGGAGTAGGTCAGCAGGAGTTACAGCTGACTGCATCCTTGTGCCCAGACCTCAGTCATTACTCCAATCCACCAAGATGCCAAAAAGAAGGAACGCTCAATCCTGTTTTCCTTACTAGTTATACTTTATAAGAATTATTTAACATTATCACACAGCAAAAAGGCCAACCACTAATGTAAATGGCAAGCATTATCTGAAACCAGCATGAACAATGAAAACCTGTATTGTTGTATGCTGTTTTATAAAGTATTAAATACCTCTCAAAGGGAGGTCATAAGAAATATCAATGCCAGAACAAACACTGAGAAAATCTAAACAGCTCATTTTCACAAACTCTTGTGTACAAGTGCCCAGCATTAATGGGGAAAAAAAAAAAGGAAATAAACCGCCATCAAAAACAAACCAAGAAAACTCACCTGAACCCTCTTCACTAACCCCTTCTTTTTGAGTTTGCAATCACTGAAATTCTCTGGCAGATTCTGCAGTAAAATAAACAAACAAGTTGATGAAGCTTAATGGTGAAATTAACATATTAGCAAAAACTGAAATTATCAAAGAATCCTCTGAACAGGCATCCTGAATGTCATGCCTGCTTAGCGAGGATGATTACACGAGAAAGAATTTATAAGAAAAAGTAATAAAAAAGTCAGGGATGAGGCATGCTGACTGCAAAAAAACAGAGCTAGCAAATTTACTGCTTGTCTTTAGGTAACATACAGCAATAAACTACATAATACATTAACTCAATCACTTGCCATCATTAGAATGTATCATCAGTAATGCAGACATTGCCAGTCTGTTAAAGCTGTGTATCTGATCATCTCTGCAATGTACTCATGGAAGGCAACAGATGTGAGGTGTTACACGCTGTCAGCTTTTAGTTTAACTAAAATTGCATAATTTTCTGTACTCCTACCACCCAATATATTCATGTATTTCTTCCTGGCAAATGTTACATGCTTTGTCCTTTTCGAGCTATGTGAAAGTGGAGTGTTGCTGGGGAATGGTGCTCAGGTTTATGATTTTTTTTAACAGTTAAAATACCCGTACAGATAATTATCATTATGTTTACATGTTTATGTAAACATGTTTAGAAACATTGTGCTCTCACTGTTGAAAATACATAGAATTCTTGGAGTTTCTCATTAGTACACCTTTTATTTTCTAATCTAACTCCAGATCAAGAACAGAAGTTTCTTTATAGTAGTTTCATTTCAGCAAAAATGTGAGCCCCTCTGCACGGTTTAGAGACATGAACTTTTGTAACAATCAAAAACAAAAAAAAAGGTGCTCTTTTATTGTTCAGAAAAATGGTTTCTAATCCTCCTGTTTGTTGGCCATGCCACATGCCTTGTCCTGAGGCACTTCAGCTGGGCTGTCAGCTGTATCACCTTCCTGGAGGAATACTTCTTAAAGCCTTTGAGGCATTTCACTGGTTTCCCTCTTGGTTCCTAACAGCAGGGTGTCTGGAGTAGAAAGCTACAACAAAGTTTTCACTACTGAAACTTGGTAGGATGAATCCACGACTGGAGTCATGAGATGGCATTGCAGGGAGGCTGGACAGCAGCAGGTAACATATTCAACTGTGGAGACCTGTGAGGGGGTCTCTCATGCTGTTGGTGTGTGTCCCTGATTCTTTCCTGGGGTGCTGACAGACTAATTAAAGGTGTGGAGACCCAGGAGGGGGCTTTCTGTCTGCATGTAACCCTGAACAGGTTAGCTGAACTGCCCTCCAATCCACCCCGCTCAGTGAAGGGTCCCCATAACAGGACACTGCAGACACATTGGTTGGGCACAAGAGTCTTGGTTCACCTGGGGCAATGACAGATTAATCGAAGGGTTTGAGAAAATCTTCTCTTTCATGTGGTGATGCTCCTTGAGCTTTAGAAAACTTGTCCTCTGAAGCTTTAATTTTATGTTTATGATCCATGCTAAGGGATTGAAGGATTATACTAAGGAAAGCTTATAAAATGCTTATTGATCCAGATAAATTCAAAAGTTTAGTAGTAAGTTCTCATCTTATTGTATGTGGCAAAACTTCCCAGAAGTCTGGCAAATGTTTGCTACAGGACAATGATGGTTTTTCAGAATACTTCTTTCTTTTAATCCTTTAAATGTTAATGTGGTATAGATTTACCAGATGACAAGTATAGCAGGGACAAGGAGAAGTTAAGTTTCATCAAAACAGCACAGTAATTTAAGTTCTAAAGAACTATAACCCAAAAAAATCCTCAAGAAAGGAGGATGGGCCACCAGAGCATAATTATGAGTCAGCAACACTATCAATGTCCTCACTCCTGATACATGCAATTTGACAGATTTGTCATGAATTTATGTAAACAAAATCAGTGACTGGTATTTAAAAAGAGACAGCTTTTTTTTTCAATTGTTAGAACAACCTGTTCTCTGCAATACTGTCTTTCTAGATTACAAATCTGCCATTTAATAAAAAAAACATAATGGGAGCAAAGTAAACGCTCAGATAGCAATACTGATGACAGAGTTCCTGTAAATTGGAGCAGGCTTAACAAGTACATACTGCCATGACTATGAATTCCAATTTTCCTACTGATCTCAGAAAAACTTTATTTTCTTGAAAACGCCTTTCAGTTATTTAAAAACCTGTGCCAGATGATCAAGTCAAGCATTTTCTGTGTTCTACTCACCGACATTTGTAATAATTAGTGTATTTTGACTTTTATTCCTGGACCAAATGTTTTAACTGATGAAATAAATAGCATTTCTGGTAATGCACACACACAAATCTTCAACTGTTGAACACGACTCAACTGTATTCCTCCTGAAGAAAACTTCAAAGAGCTGTGGCTTATGGCACTGTCTGACTGTGTCACAGCATTAAAAATTTGTAAGATGTGCCTAACATCCCTCCACCTTTCCTGTGGTGGAAGCAGTAGCTATTTAAACATGTTAAAATGTTTAAGTTACAGCTACCCTACTCAAAAGCATCCCTTCAAGACTTTTCTTTCACACCTCTGGCAGTGACGACATTGTATTTTTTTCTCTCACACTCCAATACTGTAGGACTACAAACTTACTTCTCCACTTCCCAAATCCCTTCTTTTAAATTTATAGTTGTTGAACACACACAGCCTAGCAAAACTGAGTATTAGTTCCAAACTCAGTGCCTTTAATTAACGAGCTTGCCTGCTATCAGTAAGAAACAATATGCAGGATTCCTCACCTCTGTAACCATCCAAATCTCATTTTGTATCAAGTTACTCAGTTTTGAGTGATCCAAATAACACATGAAAGCCAAAAAACACTTTAATGAGCTTTCAGAATGATTCTGCCAAAGAAAAAAACTAGAACATTTACAGTGTGAGCTTGCTAGAGTGTTCCGCTTTTACAATGCATCATCCATTCTTCTCAGTCAGTCATAATTTTCTCCTTTTAATTTTTTAACATGCTGTTGATTGAATCAATAGCACCTCTACATGTTCAATAGCATTTAACAGATTTGTCTGAACTTTTGCTTTTAATTGGCTACCAGTTCTAAGATACAGACAAAACCCTTTCTGGAAGCTTTACACTGTACTGCTTTGCATTTCTGTTTACCACTTTTTACTTCAGTGGAACCCATTTATTGTTCCTATATATACCTCATTACCATTCCCTATTGCTGCCTCCGTATCTTGCACAACTGCAGTACAGTCAAATACTACCTCAGTTGGCTGGTGGCCTGTTCATCTGATCTGGTGTAATACCAGCACACTGAACACCTGCATTTTAAGATTCCACCCACCTACATCTGCAAGATTTCACAGAAGTCCAGTTTTCATGACAAACCCCACAGCCAGCTTTGTATATTAAAACAAATAAGTATGCAACTTCAATCAGTGACAATGAAAACTCTCACATATTTCTTAAAAAAAATGAGGTTTATCAATGTCATAGGCTCTTATACAACAAAGTAACAAACATCTGTTACAAATTTTGAAGGACACTAATAATTATACTTAGTGGCTGCTCCACTTTCACAAGAAACACCCTGGTTGTGACAATCTTCTTTTACCTCTGTACAAGTACCTTATTCTCATCCAGCTCTCAGCTACTACACGATACAGGAAGATATATATTATACTCTGGAAATGTTAAGGTTATGATTCATTAATGACTGTAAAGCACTTGGATATAACCCCAGTACATTCCAAAGAAATAATCCAGTCCTCAATATGCAGGCATCTCAGATAAAAGTACAGTCAGTCCACATGTGACTGACTAGAAAATTCTTCAGTCTGCAGGACCTCCTTTTTCCTGTATGATATAGAATATGAAGTGTATCTCATTGGGTTTTTCCCCCAGACCTTTACTGCTACCACAAAGTTTGCGAAGATAAACTAAAAGGGCAAAGCTTGAGCAGAGGATACCCATTTCATGTAGTCTTAACAGGCTGCTGCCCCAAATGAAGCTCTTCTGTAGAATGGAAATGCATACACAGGCATTAATGTCACCAGTTAGAAACAGAGGCTGCCAAATAGTCTTTTGGAGGCATATAGGGCCAAGAACTGGATATTAAAGAAAAAAATGAGCAAAGGAACTAACTAATTTTCAAAGCCAAACTAAAATTTCTAGTATGTTTAAATATCAAATAAATTATAAGATATTCTTAACAGCAAACTTCTGTTGGGATTTTACCCTCTTCTGTGGTTAGTTACTTACAATGGCATCAATCTGTTCCAGGGTTTTCATGAACTGCTCTGCAGTTCCTTTTATCCTCTTGTCCAGCTGTTTTAGTGCTTCTGCTTGGAGCTCCTTTGCTAAAAATCCCTGAGGAAGGAAAACCAAAATTATCCCATACCCTACAGAATACTCATCTTAGAAGATCTGCCAATCCACAACAGCAGAAAACACCATTTACTATTTGTGTAGTTTCAAGCATGGTAGGGACTCCAATCTCAATCTGTATTCTATCAATCCTTGACATGGTAAATATAAGATCTGCTAGGTTTACTTAAAAGATAAACAAGTAACAGATATTCTCCTTTGGACTTTAAGTGAATTCTTTAATGTTTTTCCAGATATAAAGAATATAATTTATCCCACATGAAACAAAATTTACCTTTTTCCAAAGAGTGCCATGTCTCTATTTTGCAAACTCATAAATGGCATTTGAAGTTCACTAAGAATTATACAGGACCCTTGGACAGTTAGGAGGGACAGCCTATTACTGACTACTCAAAACCTTTAAACTGTTTTGGTTGGGTTTTTTTAATACATATACCTACAAAATTGTTTTGCAAAGATATAAAGTGATACAAAACTGGCATACCTTCTGGATACTTGTGAACTCTTTATTAACTTCCTCTAACTTATTAGCTATTTGCTCCACTGACTTCTCCAAATCTTTTAACTTCTTTAATTCAGCCTCTTCTTCTGGACTATTCTGTGTATTCAAAAGTACAACATTCACAACTATGGAACAAGTGGATACACGATGCAGCTAAAAAGCAGCAGCAGTGGTGATACAGACATAAAGGCTTCTGTTGGTTTACATACTACACTGTGGCTATTCTTTTCATATTTGAGAATATGTAAATTCTCATGAATAAGCTTCTTCCAAAGCTTAATTACAAATATTAGAAGAGTAAGGTATATAAACACACTAAATGAAATTAAATTGAAGGGAAAAAGGAAAAGTGCAACCTTTTTTTTTCTTATTGTTAACTTAGCATTTTTAAAGTAGAGGTAGCATTTACATCACAAGATTATTACCTTGTCCTCTACTTGGCAAAGCCAGCCACAAGTCCTTTCACCAGAAATAACCCAGCAGACTCAGTAGCTACAGTTGGGGGAGTTTTTTTTTTTAAACCAGAAAAAAAAAAAGTTGAGCAGATAAGGTCATCGGTGCACAGAAGGTTCATGAGCACTGACAATAGATTATGCAAAGTCTTGTCAATAATGTAAAGCAGAAGCCAGTCAATAATGTAATTTCAGAAATGTACAAACTGCAGTTATTTGCAGGGTAACATGAGATTGAATTCAATTTTGTGGATAGGTATACAAAATTAGGTCAATGCTGTAACCTGTTTGTGTGTTCAGCATCTGACTTACTGACAAAAATTACAATAATTTAAGGGGAAAAAAAAGGTCCAAAGGCAACACTTACCCTTTTCCCAATCAACATGACTTTGCAACCATTTTTAACGCCAAGTGCTGATAATGGTTGTTCCAGTTCTTTCAGAGACTTTCCTAAATGAAAAACGAAGAGAGAAAAAAAACCAGCTAAAGTACGGTTAGTGGCATAAGAATGTCTTTTCGAAGATATTCAAAACATTGACACTTGAAAGCGACAAAGATGAAATCTTATCATCTATAAGAAATGTTGCAGATTTATAAGTTACCTTTGTATATCAGTTTCTGAAAGGGAACTGGAACTCCAGTGACTTGTTCAATAAGTACAGCCATGTCTTGTAGTGTAGGTTCACCGTCTTCTTGTTGAGAAGCAACCTGAATACTGTGCTTTTCATTGCCTAACAGAAAAACAGAGTAACAGTAAAACCTAGAAATACCTAGGAAACATTACAGAAAATCCATTTCTAATATTTATTTCTATTAATGCAAAAAGTTCTCAAACCACTGATTCTCATGTACAATCATAATTTTCAATCTTTCCTCTTGGAGTGACTGACCTGAGTTGAAAGTTTTGGTTTACACTGTAATAATCTGAAGAGTTTGATTGGGTGTATTTTACTGGCATAATGCTCCTGCTAAATATTACTCCCTCTCTCTTTTTTAAGAGTACAGATAGTGTCCGGACATTCCACAAGCTGAAGCACGAAAGCCCACACCTTCCTGATATATCCCATTTCCCACTTGTAGGAACTTTTAATAGCATGAGTCTTGGTATCTGAGACAATTTATCAGTTCCTTTGCTCCCCACTCCTCATACGTGAGAAACAAGCAATCTATGTCTACCCTGTGTTGCCTCCACACCAATTAGACAGAATTCTCACAGTCCAAAAACTACTTCTCCCCATAATACTACTGATAAGTAGCCTTAACCACTTTGAGAAGTCCCAGCTTATCTGTCACAATCCACTTATGGAGCATCCTACTCAGACTCCCTAAGATTACTTGCATGCAGTAAGGAGGAAGTTCTTAGGAAAAAAGGAGTATGCCTATTAATCTCTGCTTTGCAACAGACCCTTTCTATAACCCTCTGTTCCCATGCATTTAATATCTGTCAATCTGAAAGCACCCACAGGAATCAACCATCACTGGCTGCATGGGAAATCAAAACAGGCATTTTTTATTCTGCAGGAAGAGAAAAGTCCTGAGCAAATACCAGAAATAAAACTATTCTCATGCCACTAATTTTAAGTGCATGTATCTTTGATAAAGAAGATTAATATTAATATTGATATTAAAATACTCCAGCCTCCCACAGTCACATGAAAAGTGACACTGTGGCCTCAAAAACTTTAAAGCTCTAACAATACTTGTTAATTCTAAGACATTTTTAAGCTTAAAATTACATTATGCCCCCCTCACTGAAGCATTTTCCATAAACAGAACTTCCCAATTTGTTGTGGAAAAAAAAATCCCACAAAGCACAATCTCAATATATTTCAGTTGTTTTGATATACAACTGCTTAGCATAAGGGCTCTGCCTATGAGCAGTTGAGAAAAAAAACAAAAACAAGCATTAACTGAGGAAAAGAACAGATGAAGCCTGTCTAACTAGAGAACCAGTTTAATTAGAAATTATAAGTACCACTTTGGGCAGACCGTAAAAAAAAAATTACCGTAAATTCACAACAGAGGTCCTCAGTGGAGCAGAGATCCACCTGCAGCCTGTGGAGGAGACACACACCAGAGCAGGTGAATGCCCTAAGAAGGCTATGGCTGCTTTGGGAAGCCTGCACTGGAGCTGGCTACTGGCAGGACCTGTGGCCCTCTGAAGAGAGGAGCCTACGCTGGAGCTGATTTGCTGGCAAGGCTTGTGACCCTGTGGGGAACCCCCACTGGAGCAGCCTGTTCCTGAAGGACTGCAATCAATGGGAGAGACCCATACGCTGGAGCAAGGGAAGAGTGTGAGGAAGAAGGAGCAGCAGAGACAGAGTGTGATGAACTGACCACAGCCTCCCTTCCCCTGCACTGCTCAGGGGGTAGGAGTTAAAGAATTTGGGACAAAAGCGAAGCCCAAGAAGAAGGGAGGGGTGGAGGAAGGTGAGTTTTTCTCTTTCAGTTCTCATTATTGTACTCTGATTTGAATGTTAATAAACTACGTTTCCCCAAGTCGGGTCTGTTTTGTCCGTGACAGTACCTGGTAAGTGATATCCCCCTGCCTTTATCTCAGCCCACCAGCCTTTCCTTCTATTTTCTCTCCCCTGCCCGGCTGAGGAGGGGAGTGACAGAGTGGCTTTGGTGGGCACCTGGCATCCAGCCAGGGTCAACCCTCCATACTTGCAGATTGTGAAGTGATGCATGTGGGTCTACTGCTGTTCTGTTTCTCAACCCTAATTTGCATCTTTCCCCACTTTCACTCATGCATGCAAAACTTTACTAAAAACATTTGTGCAAAGTGTTAAACCAGCATCTGACAGCAGCAGGTGTAAATCAGCCAGCTGAAGCCCAAGGTGAACAATGGCTTCTATTTGCTATTTATTAATGACAAAGTAATTATCAGGTAAGAAAAAATAGGAAAGATGAAAACATTCTCACATAAGATGACTGTTGGCAAAGAGCAAGATGTTGGAATTATAAATATGTCAATATCATTAAGTTATTGACATCTTTGCAAATGAAAACCCCTCAGACCAAATGGAGCTTTCTGAAGGCATCAACGAGCACATAAATAATGACAATTCAAACATAATATTCCACAAAGTTCCTCACCAAAGACTCTTAAATAAAACTACCAGGTGATAAAGAAAACATTTTAACAAAATAATGTAACAATTTGAAAACGTGAATGAGCAAGCAGAAATAAACTCTAAAGATGGAAAGAACATCACCAACACGGTGCAAAAGGAACACAGGCTGAATTTATTATTCAATAATTTTAAAAAATCTAGTAAAAAATTTAACAAGTTTTGCTAACAAAAATGAGCAGAATACCTTGCTGATTTAATACCTTACTATCCTCCTCAGTCCTCCTACTGTCTCACTTCACCAAAATTTAACCATGGTATTTCCATACTGTGGAGACAGGGCTATTCTCACCTCTTCACACTAACTTTTTATATTTTTTTGCAGATATAAGACCATCTTCCCTTCCACCTTCTTCTCCCTCCTCCTATTTCTTTTTTTGAGGGAAAAAAACCTCAACTGTGTAAGCCGGCCTTTGAGTGATCCATTCCACCAGGTCAGCACCCATCTGTCATACTGAAGAAACCACACTCTCTGTTGCAGTCTTGCAGCCCACTAGCTGCAAACATCCAAGTATTTTGCAACAAAGAAGAAGAAAACCTATCAGGTAGCACCTGCCTTTAACATGCAGTGCTGACTTCAGCAATATATTGCATCTAAATGAAGATTACTACCGAACAATAGAATCACAGAATGGGTCAGGCTGGAAGGGACCACAGTGGGTCAGCTGGTCCAACCTCCCTGCTCCAGCAGGGCCATCGTAGAGCAGATGGGACAGGATTGTGTCCAGATGACTTCTGAGTATCTTCAGAAAAGACCACTGCACAGCCTCTCTGGGCAATCTGTTCCAGTCCTCGGTCATGCTCACAGTAAAGAAGTTTTTCCTCGTATGCAGGTGGAACTTCCTGTCCATCACTTTCTGCCCATTGCCTCTTGTCCTATTGCCTGGCAGCACCGAGAAGAGCCCGGATTCATCCTGTTGGCATCCCGCCTTTACACGTTCATACACGTTGACAAGGTTCCCTCTCAGTTGTCTCTTCTCGGGGCCGAACAGGCCCAGCTCCCTCAGCTTTTCCCCGTAAGAGAGATGCTCCAGCTCCTCGATCATCCCCGTTGCCCCCCACTGACCCCAGCTCTGCGCTCCCTGGCAAAGGCCGCCCTGTCCCCTGCTCCCACTATCCCCCCTCACAACAGATCTACGCCTGCGATCCAGCCGGAGAGAGACACTTGGAAGTGCTGGCCAGCAAGGAGCGAAACCTTATGGCAGCAGCGGGGATGGAGAGCGGGCCGAGCGGGGCCGAGCCGGCCCCGGCCGCTCCCCGCTTCGCCGGGGCAGCCGCGGCCCGCCCTGCACACCGAAACAGCCGGCCGGAGCCCCCGCCGCCGCAGCCGAGCCCCCCGGCCGCTGCCCTGTCCCGGGGCTCTTACTGTAAGTGACGGTGACGGTCACCGGCGCTCCGGGCGCCGCCATCTCACCCCGGCACAGGGAAGCGTCTGCGGCACCTCCCGGGGCGCGCCCGTAGCACGTCACTTCCGCACCAGGAAAACGGGAATGCCGCCTTCCCGGGGCGCTGTTATTGCTTCCCACCTCCCAAGTAGCAAGGGCACGGCCGGGACAACCCGGCCGTAAACGGGACGGGTTTTTTTGCTACCCTAGATGCTTCTGGGACCAGATCCAGGCCCCGCCTCTGGCAAATCCTGTGCTCGTGCCACACACTGCGCTGATAACCTGCCCCCGCCCCGTGTGAAAGACCAAATCAGTTACCAAAAACACCACACAGAGGGATCTGCTAATCTACGTGGTTTTATGTCTCCATAGAATACATAAAGTTAACGACGACCCGATTTGGTACAGTTTTCTGAAAGGTTACAAGTACAATCGCATAAAAGTCTCGAGACTGCAGTAGTTTAAAAATTGCGTTGAGTTCTTTTATCAAATAAGCATAGTAATAAGGGAGCTATTTTACAGAGAGTAAGCAGCAACGTACAGTCTTAGTCTCAAGAAAGAGAAACATAATACAAAGTCAAAATAAACCTCAGCTATCAACAGCCACCACTACTCTTCACATTTTACTTTGTCCATTAGACACGGAAATCAAAACCTGTAAGACTGACTGCTTCCACCGAAGGGAATTGTGACGAGTTTTCCATTAACAGAAAAGTCAGTAGCAGAACAACTTTCTTCAAAGAAAGAACACCACCAGCCATTCATATTGCATTCTAGGATGTAGTGATATTAAGGTTACACTGGAAGGACAAGCTCTCCAGGATTTAAAAAAAGAAAACAATTTGTAAAGTATAGTTCATTATATCCATTGTGCTTTTGAAACATTTATGTTGCAGGGATCTTTGGCAATCCAAATTCATCCACCAATACACCATCCTGTAAGAAAGAAGAAGAATGGGTTAACAACTCTCTACCAACCAGAACGTTTCACAAATGTTTCCTTACCATTTCTATAAAGTTTCTATATCTGCATTTGTCACTGTGTGACAGCTGGAATCAAAGTATACTTCCTCCATATGGAGCTCTATTAAAGCCCCAAAAGCAAACATAGAGAAGATTTTTCTTACGGTTTTAAGAATAACTATTACTAGAGTTGTAACAGTACACTTAAATTATACTTGCAGACTGAAAATGTTTGATAGGAATTACAAAATGCCATTTTAGTTATTTTCTTTAAATATAATTAAGAGCATTCCTGTACCTGTATTCTGTCATATGTAGTATTCAAAATACATAAAACATTAAGCACACTTCTTTGTTCAAAATATTAATGGTCCCAAATATAAAGTAACCAACACAAATGTGATTAATTCAAAACAAACAAACAAAAATGGAATTCACTTTTAAAAAGCAAAGGACTCACTTTGTTTTTTGTGTCTGTAGGAGTGACCTCTGGGATTGCTGGTGCAGATGCGGCTTCATCTAAGTAGGAATTGTCTTCATCAGCTAAAAGCTCATCACCTAACGCATCCAGTTCTGAAAGTGAATTATGCTGGTTGAAAAATTATGCAAGGAATTCCTTTTGCAAAAGAAAAGCTGCTCTTACAAAGAAACACAGTTCATACTGAATGCTTACATTCAGACTTATTTAGCATTAGTCATCGGTCAGAAATACACACACACATACACACTAGAGAGAACCTCTTTCCCTGCCCTGCAGCATTCCATTGGTGAGTACCTCATGTTTGTCTCATGCTCTTGTTACTGCTCTTAAAGGAAATGCAGATTTAATGTTTAAAAAAAAACAATTTTAAAAAAATACATTTAAAGCATTTGACTTATCAAATTAAACCTCACTGTATGACAGTATGATGATTTTTACATTTAGGAATATAAAAAATCATCCTCTCCTTTCCTCACCTGCTTCCAAATCATCTTCATCAATATCTGGTGTTCCATAGCTACGACTCAGTGCCTCCTGGACTTCATTGGCTTCTTCCATCATATCCTCCAACTGATCTTGTATGTCCTGAAGCAACAATCAATTTCAATTGGTCCATATTTAATCAAATTCTGTTTAGTAATTCCAACATACAAAGCACTCAATTCTTTTAATGCATAAGCCATTTTTTTGAAGCAGCATTAATACAAGTCAAGGCACATGCATTCAGTGCTAATGTGGCTTTAACTACTATTAAAATTATAATGTATGAGATAGAAAAAGAGGAACCTTGAAACATCTCTGCAAAATCCTTTTGTTTGAAGTATTCTTCAGGGAAAACTAAAAACCTCTAATAAATTAGCCAGTCCACCATTATCTTGAAAAGCAGAAAAGGTATGAAATCTAGACAAATTAAATCTACCATCTGGAAAATAAGCACTAAGCTAAGTTGTGCCACAGCAAAATTTAGAAGATACTTTAGCACACTTATGGGCACTGTACTTGAGTACAAGCAAGGAGACAATAGTTGCCTAAAGGTTTACAATGCAGGCCACATAACTGCATAGGAAAGAGAACTTGAAGGAATTCAGCACTGGCATTGGATAAGAGCTAAGTGCAGCATTTTTGAAATTATATTTAATGATCTTATCAGGGGGGTTATACATTGTCTGAAGTCAGGGCCAGGCCTTGCTGATTTCTTGAAATTACATTTTTTTGTTTGATTGGTGTTTTTTTGCTTTTAGGTTTTGTTCTTTTTAATCAGGCACTTTCTTAAACTGGGGGAGTAAAGGACTAATCTGCATGGGGGAAAACAAAAAGGACAAAAAAAGCCATAGCAGGAAGTATCCACTAACATTTATGCTGAAGTGCAGAGGAGAGGAAGGGAGAGAAGGGAAAGTTCAAAGATTAGCTCAGCAAGGAAACAATAAGCAGTACAATAAGGCCAACAACTGATTACACAGTACCAGAAAAATCAGGAAGGAATTACAATGGTGGTCCCATAAAAAAAGCCAACTAAAATAGTCAGGAATAGTGGACTATTAACCTTCAAGTTAATAGTCCACTCACCACTATTTCAGTACATTATTTCTGTTCTTTAATCATTTAACTATAGAAGCTCACCTCAATTTGATCAATCTTGACTTGCTTGTACGCTTTCTTCATTTCTTTCACCCCCAGTTTCATTGCATCCACCTAAAAGAGAGCCAGACCACATGCTTGTATCTGATGTAGCACACACAAATTAAACAAGTGTGAGATTAATAAACTGGTACCGTTGTCTTTGTATCCTTCAGTGCCTGAATAGTGTAATTAGCTTGTTCCATATTAAAAGACTGCTGTGACAGATTATCCCTCTGTTGTTCATACCTGTTAAAAACAATACAAATAATGGCTTTAAAACACCACACTAATTATTACCACAAACATTCTTAATTTTTTTTAAAAAATTGAAAAATCAGCAGAAGTATTCTAAACATAGGAACAGATTTGGGGTGTTTTTCATTTATTATAAACAACTGCAGAATAAACAGCTTCATAAGAATCTAGCCATTATGCATTTCTGTTTATTTGAAGCTGACAAAGCAATTCCTGAACTAAGCTTCTGTTTTAACTGACAGCAACACCAAATTTGCCTAGGAGTAGGTGAGCATACAGGAGGAGTTTAATCACCATAAGCTTGACATGCATGCCATGCTCACTAATGCTCTAAGCAGAATGGAAGAGTTGCCAGGTTATCCAAACCACAATGGCTCTGCACTGGAGCTTTGCAGGGCAGGGAGGAGGGGGAGGATAGGGTACCAAAAGGAAACCATTAAGGCTAACCAAATACAAAAGGGAGATTTTAAAAATCAAGAAACCATCCTTCTCCAAGGTAAACTTGTATTAAATCAAGAATGTAAACTACGTCAAGTTAAGCAAAAGAACAAAAGCATAAAAATGAACAATGAGTCCTTCAAACATCCAAAGTGGGAGGTCTGCAAGACAAGGATGATCCAAATACACAATCTTCTGGACAACTAATAGCTAAATGCATTACTGTTCAACAAGAGGGAAAAGAGACGACTGAGGGATATGACAATAGCCTATTATAAGGGGCCTGGTAACTGTAAACAGAGGAACAACTAGCAAGGAAAATTAACAGGCAGCACAGTCAAAATACAGAAAAAAAAAAATCAAAACCTAAACCACAAAATCAAGCCCTCCTCACAACATCTAACTAAACTACTGCATTCCTTGCCATATGATATTTTGTATGGTAAGAGTTCACAAATACTTAACAAGTAATTGAGTAAATCTATAAAGGTACAATTTATCTGAAGGACATGAAATACAAGATGACACAAGCTTTGGCTTTGGCTCAGATAGCATCTAAGATTTGCAGTTCATTGACTGTAAGATATTGCAATGAAACATTCCCGAATACTTGCTTTGTTCTGACATCTTTTCTTTGGCTCTGTTCAAGATACTTTTCAAGACAGTACACTAGACAAGACCAGAGCACATGATCACCCAGCCTGTCCATTTTGGTTTATTTGCATAAACACAATTACCTTCGCTACATCTGCTCAAGTCCTCAAGGGTGTCCCCAGAGAACAGGTAAATTTCCAATAAACCAGAGCAAGGTCTTCAAGTACACAATTTACAGTAACCAATTAATAATACAAAATGAGGCAATCTCTCAGAATGTTTAGGAGCCAAACACAGCTACACTAATGAGCAGATTTCAGGCACCTTGTACCAATACAAATTTACAGACTGAGATTTAAATGCTGATGCAAAATCTGTAAGAAGATGCTTCTGAAAGGTTTGTTCTTTAAAGGCATTTTTCTTTAAAGAATGCTCAGAAGAGTAGTGGAAAGAGAAATGAAAGTGTGCCACCCCTCCTTAAAGAAAAAAGGCTTTTATTAATCACAAGCTAAGAAAGGCTTCAACTTACATTCGCTTCTGCTTTAACACTCTCAGTGCTTTCTGCTTTACTGTATTCTGAAAGACACAATATTGTTACATTACGAAAAACATCTAACTTTACACTTGATTATACTGTTTAAACATAATGCATTAGATTTATGTTTTCTAAAAGATTCCTCAGTTACTAGTGCCAGGAGTTTAGCAATAGTCACA